TGCCTTTACCTAGGATCGAACTCACAGCCTCCTGATTGTGAAGCGAGAGCTCCACCTCTAGGCTACCACTCCAGATAAATTATGTTTGTTTAGCATAATTTGAATGCTGCTCATTACTATGCATGCATTAAACGTATATGTTATGCAGTGGAGTCTAATAAAAATTGTTCATGCTCTTAATACATCATTTTATTAAAATCTCAAAATGTGCCTTTTGGTGCTCTTCAAGTAGAGAAGCTAAGATTCATCTTTTTGAAGCTTATTATTATGTCTAGGCACACTGTTTTGGATTCACCCCCAACAATTCAAAGCTGAACACTAATGAAGGACTATGTAGCCTCTCTTCTAAGGAACTCATAAAGTCTGAACTGACATGACCAATTTCACTTAAAACAGCAGGTATGTTTTATGGATCATAAATCCAGAAGCAATTAGCAATATTAAGTTTCAAGCATGATGAAAGACTGAAGATCAAGTACAGCCAACTACTTACAGTAGTTGGCTTGGATATTCTCAGAAGAACAGGTTGTGAATTATTATTGTCATCATCACCGTACCTTTGGAGTATTTGGGGTATCACAGAGTTGCAGCTTCTGCCAAGTAACATAATGCAAAGGAGTTCCAGGATAATCTTCCAAAGGGACAGTTTTCTTTCGCAAAGGTTCCCTACATCTCCTGATAGGATTCACCCAAGAATCTGGGCGTGCCGGAGAGCAATCATCCAATTGTCTCTGAGGGGTCACTGGGAAAGGAGAATGCGTTCTCCAGTTCTGAAACTCATAATTTTTCTGTGGAGTGACATGCTTCACATCTTCCACTCTTAAGCTATTATCCTCTTCCAACTCACTGTCTTCTCCACATCTGGAAAAATCCAGCCTCTGTATGAGGTTGTTACTGCTGCTCCAATCATCCATTGCTGCTGGAAAAGGCAGGAAGACATATCATGCTAAGACATAATTTAATTAAGAGTGCTGACTGTGGCTTGGAGAGGCTTATTGTAGCTCACACATGGTGCTAATAGATTAGTGCGATAAATAAACCCAACCAAAATCAGTCTGGATTGAGACATCAAATTATGCTTTGCTTAACTATGATTTAATTAAACCCTCAGGCAACTGGATTGAAACAAAATGGCTCCAGAATTCAAAGTTAGATTCACAAACCACTTTAAGATTTAACATGTGTGAATTCACCCAGAAAGTATTTCACAAAAAGATATGAACTCTGCATAGTAACTATCACAATCCTGAAATTAGATATGCCAAGCTTGCATCCTAGATGATGACTTTGTTTCTTCAAATCAAGCCCAATTCTTTAAAAGCTTTTGGTCTCTTCTCTCAAGGATTTGATTAACCTTTATTGTAAAGTGTCTTGATTTGTTCCTAATCAGATAACTACTGCTAGCTGTTCAGAGGCAAGTTTTATATACAGAGTACCATTTTGAAAAGGCTCTTATTTTATATTCAGATTAAAATGAACACTATCTTGAACACCTTTAAAAAAGAGAGGCAGCTATTTTTCAGTGAAATTATGGCACAATATTCTATCAAACTAACATGCTGTGTATGCTAAAAAGGAAATAACCCCATTCAATACAGTACTCTACAGCACATTTTCAGGTAAGCATGAATGGAATAAGGTATGCACTCATTTGAGGCAAACTTGTCACACAAGACTTAAGTCAGCCAGCTGATATATAAGTAAATTAAAGAAAGATTGGACATAATGTCTCTTTTATGTAGTCTTCCAGTCAGAGAAGAAAAGGTTTCTGCAGAAATTGAACCAGCTACCAAATATTGCCCTACTCTCAACCCTTTTATGACAGAAAAACATATTCAGTACCCCAACAGAAGTTGCAGCAACTCAACTGGTACTGAAGCACAGTAGCATCTGTTCAAATTTATCCTTGAACTTCCTGTTAAAACCACTCATTGGGCCTTATGGATTATGCTGGAGGAGTTTACAAACATCACTTCCTGCATATCCTCTCTGTTCTCTAAGGTAATTCTGTAAAAACTTGCATTGCTCTGTGAGTCATTCAGAATTAAATGATATTGCACGATGAGTTGATGGACCTTAAGCAAAGGCAAGATAAGGATACCTTTAAACAAAACACAGATCACTGAACTGTAGCTCTGGGGACGTGAATCTTACAGTTTGGAACTAATTTGTCACTGCCTGCTTCCAAAATATCTTTTACTATCAACAATTTTCTGGTCTCTGATCCAATTCTAATTAGGTTCATGTCTGTTTAAGTTTTTGAGATAAACCCAAGTCTGCTAGATCCTTCTATCTAGCAAGTGATTGAGACTGTGGAATTTTCAGGTAAAATTTGGGAAGGATTCCAGTCTGAAACATGAAAACTATTGCCATTAAAAGGACCAATGTATGCTAGAGATCAGAGTTTTGCAAACTTGGCAGCTTGAAGATATGTGGACTTCAACTCCCAGGATATGTGGACTTCAACTCCCAGGATTCTGGCTGGCTGGAGAATCCTGGGAGTTGAAGTTCACACAACTTCAAGTCACCAAGTTTGAAATACAGTGACCAGTGTTCACCATTTATTAAAAATACTGGAAGGATGATAGAAAAAAAGTAAAAAGAGCCAGTTTGATCTAGTGGGTAAGCAGCAGACTAGAACCTGTGATACCATGAATTCTACTTCTGCTTTAGCCATGAAAGCTGACTTAGTGACCAGTTGGGCCAGTCTCTGCCCAACTCACCTCACAGGATTGTTATTGTGGGGGAAATAGAAGAAGGAAGGTGTGTTGGATATGTTCACTGTCTTAAATTATTTGTAAAAATGATAGAGATGGGATAGAAGTAATAAACAAACAAATATATGCCTTATTGCTTCAGTTTGGAAATTGATAGCCCAGTGATGAAAATATTAATATTGTATTAACATGCAAAAAAAGGACTTGGTTAATATTCCAGCTAAAAAAAAGATAAACCTCCAGTATTGCAAACCATTTTTCTCTAATTTCATATCACCAGCCTCTAATTTCATATCACCAGCCAAACAAGAAAGAAGAGTTTCATTTTGTGTTTAACAAAAAGCTCCATCAGTGTGGATTCTCACTTGTGTGAGCCAAATCTTGCGCATTTATCCAAAAGGAAAACTTTTTGGATAACAGTCAACAGAGCTTGTGGCTGACGAGATTGCTGCTTTGCTAAATATGGCTTGTTTTCAGACATACAGGCATATAATTCTAAATATGACAGGCAAAATAGGAGACAAATGTGTGTTGGATATGTTCACTGCCTTGAGTCGTTTGTAAAATTAATAAAGGAATGATGCAAATAAATCTACTTAGCCCATGTAGGATTTAATGTCTGACCGCACTGGACGCCTAGGAAGTAAATCCCATTGGAATTATGTCCAAGCAGATATCAGTAAACAGTGAATTATCTAATAGAGTCTGGGATTTGCAGCCTTCCTATTTAATCAGGAGGTTACTCAAAAGACCTTAGTAATGTTATTCACATGCAATTATTTTTCCTGCGTGTGGTTATTTTTCCATTTTACAAGGATACTGTGTGTGAGCTGTTTTAATGTCCAGGGATATTTATGGTTGGTATTATTCATATCCATCACCAGAATCATTTTGAAGGAGGTGGTATATGACACAGAACTGTCAAATATATTACATAATAAGTAGTTGCATGATAAGGAGGCCTGTAATCCTTAAAGCCCCTGCTCACTATGTTACAATCATAATGTGGTTTTAATGTATTGTGTGGAACTCAGTCATAATGGTTTGTAAAGCATGATTTATAATTTAAAATATCTGCGTGAACCTAAGCCTGGTGAAGAGATCATTCAGTAAACCATTCTTAAACCTAGCCTAAGTTAGGATAAGGTGTGAATCACCAGCTGATGGCATTTTGGTTCATTTAGTACAATTTAGACTCCTCTTTCACTTGCAATTTGGCAGTTCGAATCTCACCAGGCTCAAGGTTGACTCAGCCTTCCATCTTTTTGAGGTCGGTAAAATGAGGACCCAGATTGTTGGGGGGGGGCGGGCAATAGGCTGACTCTGTAAACCGCTTAGAGACGGCTAGAAAGCAGTGAAGTGGCGTGAGTGCTATTGCTACGTTCAGGTGACTTGTCAAGCTTGCTTAATTTTAATTCTGGCAAATACTTTTTGGGGCTGATGTTATGAAAACCCGAGCTTGCGTGGTTAGTTTCAAGTTATTATGTAAAGCCTACGATTTAATCACGTTTAAAGACGCTGAGCCCGAAGCGCCCAGCAAATCGCTCCCTGACCATGTCAGGCTGTCAGCGATGGATTTGATTAAAAAACAGAAATAAATCTCCTTGGTGCACGTTGCAAAACTCTGCAAGCAGATCCCATAGACCCCATCTGGTGGTCGTCGGAAATTTTGCAATCCAGATCTGGGTCTCCACTCCCGAGGAAATTGCACTGACAAGCTAAAAACACCATAATACTCAGCAATAAACATTCCCCTGCTTTCAATGAATGCACCCCTGCAGGTTTTTAAAACATTCCCCTGCTTTGATGGATGTGGATAATGGACCTTGCAGGGAACTGTTGCGAATTTCAATGCTCCTGAGCGGACTGACGTTCAATGCGAGTAAAGCTTTTAAATTTAATGTTTTAAGTGTTTTTTATAGTGATTTTTTTGAGTGTATTGTGAGCCGCCCTGCGTCTTCGGAGAGGGGCGACGTATAAATTGAATAAATAAAAAAAAATAAAAATAAATTCTGTGAGGGGTGGGTGGGTTGTTTTTAAGCCGAAGTGAGATTTGACTTCTGGCCGAAGCTTGAGTAGGATCTGCCTTTCTTACCAGCGCTGCAACCCTTATTTATGCGCTTCTTATTCGACAGCCAGATCCAGCCCGACGGACGCGGGAGGGTTGCTTTTCCCCATTAAAAGCCATGCAAAAGGCTCGGCCTCCACCTTCCAGATTCGCCCCGGACTTGCGGCCGCCAGTACAAAGGATCGGGGCGCCGGGAACCCTTCTCCAAAGCAGGCCTGTCGGTTGGTCTTTGGCGGCTGTGCCGGGGGGGAACCCAGCCAGGCAGTCGGTGACGGGGGAGGCGGAGATCGAGCGATCGCGGAGGCTGCTCAAGCGCCGCCCTTCACCTCCGCGCGCCGCAGCTGGCCGGCCATGGTGGAGCAAGCCGACGACGCGCCGCTCCTCTTCTGGGCCGAGGGCCCGGCCGTTTCCTTACCGGAGCCCGGGGAGCCCGGCACCGGGGGGGGTTGCCGCTCCTCCACCTCCTCCTCGGCGTGGAGGCGCGGCGGCAAGGGGGAGCCGCTGGTAGCCGATCCCGGGAGGCGACTCCAGGATCCCGGGAGGCGATTCCAGGAGCAGGACCCGGCGCAGGTAGAGGAAGACCAGATCGTGGCAGTCTTCGTGGTCACTTTTGACTCCCGCACGGGTAAGCTGGGCAGCTGTCCGTCAAGTCGGAGATGGGAAGCTGGATCTCCCTTAGTGGGGGGGGGGGGAGGAAAGATCCCCTCATCCCCTGGGCTACCCAGAATTGCAGTCAAAGGGTGGCTTACTCTCTGGCAGCATTCTGCTAAGAGCCAGGGATTTGCACCGGGGTCCTTTCGTCTTGGGAGTTCAGATGTCCAGGTCTCCAAAAAAAAAAACCCCAGTCTTTCTGACCATGTCCAGAGTGCGGCTCTATCTTCCCTTCGCATCAATTTCTTTCTGTTTGAGCAATAAGCTATCTTTGACTTTTTTTTTTTTTTCTTCCCCAGAGGTTGGGAAACCCTGGGTTGTCTTCAGCTTCTGCCTGGGGTTCCTAAGAACTGAAAATAACATTTGGTGCAGATACATTTCTGGCTTCTCTGCATGGAGGGAAATGCTTGGGGTAGTTAGTAGATGGCTTCATAGATGGCTCTTTGCTTGCACAAAGAGATCATTCTTCCTTATTTTGGAGGCATTCGCTATTGGAAACTCAGGACTTTCCCAACTTATTTAGTTCACCAGAAGATGGGAACTTACTGTAGCGTTTGCTTTCAAACCAAAATTACAGGATTGTTCCCTAGACATGGCCCGCACATTGGTGAGATTAAGTGGCTTGGAAAAGAGCATTTTTGGATATGATGTAAACACACACACACACACACACACACACACACACAAAATTCTAGGCCTCATGTTGTTCCATCCTCCTTATTCCTTCTCCCCCCCCCCCCCCCTTACACTTTACTGTTTTTAATGGGGAGAGGGAGAGGTAATTCAGGAAAGAGTAGATGCCGGGCCTGTTCAGTCTGTTTGGTTTTTAATCTTGAGATCCATCAGCAGACTCAGGCCAATGGCTATGAACATAGATATGGACACAGAGTTAAATAATAGGGTATTTGTGTTCAGATGCTAGTTGTCTCAGAGACTGGTGGGAAGCTTGACCTTCCCTGTACATTTATCCATATTCTGTCACCTTCAAGTGAAGAGGGCAATGCTTTTTGAGAGCCTTTGGAGGTTTTCCATACAATATAGAACCTAGGAAAATCGTGTATGTATGTTCCAAGCCTAGGAATTTGTTTCCTGAATTGCTGTGGACTTTGGTAGTTTGCTTGTGGTTCCATCCATACTCTTTTTTTATTTTCTTATGCACCTTCATGGGGTGGATGGGGACATTTAAGTTGCAGCCAGTGATCAAATATTGGGAGTCAATCTTCTGGAAATCTTTAACATCTCTTCATAATTCCTAATTGTTCTCTATCCTTGCAGTAGTATAAATATTGTACCACAGCATATGTGTACAAATTGGGGCATATTTATTGTTCTTGTTCCTTTCCAACCTCCCAGTTTTAGGAACTCTGTTCATATTAGAAAATACTTTATTTACAGAAAGAAAAAAAGCCCCCCCCCATTTTTCCTTTCAGCTGCTGTGATAGTTAGATCATTCAAACAGTGACTTCTGCCCTATTTTTGCTGAACAAGTCAAGAACTATATAGCAAGAACAATCCCTGGTTTGTGGTCTTGAGTTGAATAGGAACAAACCAGGAGCCTTGACTTGGGTGACAAACTCATCTCTTGATTCCTAGTTGGTTTAAGTGCTCCACTTGGCAAGAGGAATAGGCTACAATCATGAAGGGTAAATCATGATTCTTGAATCTGTGTTACCTTTGTGGCCATCTTCTGGACTTTTATCATTCTATGGAAGCAGACACCCTTGTGTAATGTGTACAGTGTGTAACGTTCACAGGTCACAGAAAGCGACTGATTGGGATGTTTTGCCCCTTTATCTCCTAGCAGTCTAAAGATCAGTCAGGATGATTCCTCACTGAAGAAAAAAAAATTCTGTGTATCCAGAAACTTTATTTCAGTGCTGCCTCAGTCATAATGATGCTGTTGGCAGTGTACAGTGCACTCACATGCCAATTGTCGATATTACATTACACTGAATCATTCAGTGACAATTATATAGGCATCCAGAACCAAGAGTACCTGCAGGGGTGTGTGTGTGGAAATGACTCACATGATCAAAGTCTTGCCGTGTGTTATGTGCATATGAACATTGCACACATGTAGAAAGTATTGTGGAATAGTCAAGATGTGTAATATATATTATCTGCTTCCTATATTCCTGAAATGAGCTTTCAATTTTAAAACAGGTTCTGGGTAAAGTTATCTGTGATTTCCTTGTAAGAATTAAGTCATCATTATTGCAACATTTGAGTGATGTAACCCTTTTTTTTTCCGTATTTGCTGTTCTTCAGAACATCTAAATACTTCCTTTTCTTGTGTGGGTTTGTTTGTTTTCTACTCTGTCTCCATCCTTGGGCAGGATTATGGATTCCCAGTTGCAATTACTCTCTTTGCTAACATATATGGCCAATGGCGACATGACGCTATCATTTTAAAAAGCCTTTATACAGGTAGTCCTTGTGTGGGTTTTTTTTTTTTTTTTTCATTTTCACTGAGTCTTCGCACTACCCGAGGTTCAGGTAGATGCTGGGGCTCAGCACACCTGACAGCCCCCTTTTGGGGTGCTTCAAGAGAGATTCAGGTTAATGTCAGCGTTCCAGAAAACCCCCCAACTCCAAGTAAAACTCTGAAGCAAGCATTTTTCAAAGTTCTATTTACTAGAATAGGTAAACTGGCAGATCTGGGAAAACCCGAATCTGAGAGGTCCGGGTTTTCCCTCAGTAAATCAAAACCCCCAAAACCACCCCCTCACTCCTTAGTCGATCACATGCTCCAATCACCATCCGTCCCATCTCGAGACAGCAATCCGACCACTCCTTTTCCAGATGCAGGATTGCCTTGACCTTGATTGACAGGAAGAATGCTATTATGTCTAAAGACAACCCCTCTACTAAATCCCCCCTCCTACTTTCCCACACAGGAGAAGGTGGCATCATAGAAGCTTCCGGCCTAATAGTTGACACCTTGACTTACAACAGTTCATTTAGTGACGTTCATATAGCATATGTTTGTAAAGCAAAAAGTGACTAATCTGTGGCTTCCGCATGACTTTCAGTTAAATAAAATAGAACTTGAACAAACTACAGAATTAGCAAAGCAACTTTCATGGGAAGGAAGTCTGAAATTGCCCTGGGCCATCTCGTATCAAAGAATCAGCAAAAAGCACAGGCAATAGAGAAGAATAATGCCCCTGGTAAATAATAAAAAGTAATAATGAAATTCACTATCTTTTATTCTATTGGATATATAGTACAGGTAGTTCAGTTCACTTAGTGACTGTTTGAAGTTAGAACGGCACTGAAAAAAGTGATTTATGACTATTTTTCACACTTATGACCATTGCAGTATCCCCATGATCACGTGATTTACATTCGAATACTTGACAGCTGGTTCATATTTATGATGGTTGCAGTCAGTGGTGGGTTCCTCCCGGTTCCGCCCAGTTCCACCGAGCCGGTAGCGGTGACGATATGACGTCACTGAACCAATTCTGCCCCCCCACCCCCCCTGCATTATTCTTACCTTTTATTTGGCCCCACCCCCAATCTATTGCTGCCTCCCGAGTCCCAGCTGATCGGCTAGAGGGAAAAAAACTGTTTAAACTCTTGCCGCAGGGCTTCAAAGGGCTGCCCTACAGCTGATCAGTGTTAAAAGAAAACAAATGAGTAGACCGGTGCCTGCAAAAATAAATGGGTAGACCAGTGCTTCCAAAAATAAGTGGGTAGACTGGTATAGCACTGCAAGCAGTTAAAAGCCTGGTAGACCAGTACCTCTGCTAAATCCTAAATAATTGTCACATGACCATCAAGCCACACCCACAAAATAAGCCACGCCCACAGAACCGGTAGTAAAAAATTTTAGAACCCACCTCTGGTTGCAATGTCCCAAGGTTATGTGCTTATCTTTTGTGACCTTCTGACAAACAAAGTCAATGGGGAAGTCAGATTCACTTAACAACGGTGTTAGTAACTTAACAACTGCAGTGATTCACTTAATAAAGGCAGCAAGGGAAGTTGTAAAATGGGGCAAAACTCACTTAACAAATTTCTCACTTAGCACCATGCATTTTTGGCTCAATAGTGGTTGCAAGTTGAGGACTACCTGTGTAGGCTAAAGTTCGACAAACTTTTTTCAGCCCTGTTTGACCACAGCTCCAAAAAATGCTGGCACACCTTTTCTGCTATTTCAAGGCAGGATACTGGCCAAAAGTAGTGCCAAGCTTAAAATATTACATTAAAAAATTAAAAAGAATTTCTCAGTGGAAGTAGAAACCCTCCTCTCCAGAAAATCGTGGTCCTGCCCACATGTTGGTTTGAATGGTCATCAGAACCATTATCACTTTTCGCCCTTCCCTAAATGTAAAGCATCCCTAACCACTAGAGTAGCGGTATCTTCCCATTGCTGAATTAGATGGTTATTAAAATGAATGGATTTTCATAGTAGCCTTACATGAGATACTTACCACTAAGTAGAACTTCTTAGGCTTTTAAGTGTTTTTTCATTTATTTATGAAGTCATTCAAGGAAATCGCCATATACCAAACATACTGTCTTCTACTCACCTCATTTGGGAAGCAGTTGAATGGATTCTTGGTGGTCAGAAGGTTAATAATAAACATTTCACTTTAAGAGCACTCAGCTTTACAAATCCTCAAATGGCATGTCTGCCCAGAATTATGATAATGATGAAACCTGTAGTAAGTGAGTTTGTGATTTCTGTATTTTGAATGTTGGCTCCCATTCTTCTGTAATTGCTGTTTGACAATGTCTGAGTGATTGCTGTATGGTGGTACAGCAGTTATGTTCAAAATGCTCAAAATGGCAGCTAACCCTCCAATTTGGAAGGAGTTGATATGGGTCCTATTGTCTCAGGTGATATTTGCATTTCAAGCAGCTTTTTAAATAAGCCAACCAAAGTTGCAAGCTGGACAAATATATATTGCTATGAGACTAGTAATAAGCATTCTTTCCATTCCCTCCATATGAAAATTTAAGCCA